ACTTGGGGTTTCTTCATGAAAATTCCATATTTAGCTCACTTTCTGTCAATATGCTCAAATCAATTCAAGTATATCCTTAATTATTGATCTTTCTGTAATATACTAAATTGATGCTTCTGAATAATTTAAGAGTTGCTTTAGCAAAACAAACAACAACAACAACAACAACCTAAGGGCCTTTCTATAATCACAAAATAAATGTATGCTAAAGTAAAGTCAGAACCTTAAATTAAAAACACACTAAGCAAGGGTCTGGGGACATAGCTCAGGTAGCACAGTGTTTGTTGTAAAAGTGTAAGGATTTGAGCTCAATTCCTAGAACCCAGGAATAAAGCCCATCTTGGTGGTGTAGCAAAGAAGGCAGATTCCTGGGACTTGCTGGTCAGCCAGCCTAGCCTAATGTGCCGCAGGTCCCAAAAACAAGGTAGATGGCTCTTGAGGAGTGACACTGAGGTTGTTCTTTGGCCTCCTCTTGCTTACACACACACACACACACACACACACACACACACACACACACACACACCACTTGAGCACACAAGCCCTCACACATGCAGGCATGCACATACACACATGCTTTATGCACACACATTCACATGGTCTTTGTGGGACATAAGAACTGTAGCAAACTGAGTCTCTGTCATCCTCACTCTAAGCTCTGCAAGTCTAGTGCATTGCCCTGTGCCCAATCAGTGTTTAGCCAATACAGTGCTGTCGCCCCCCTCTCTACCGCCTTCAGCATGTTGTCTCATCCTGAGGACTATTCCCTCCGTGGCCATCGACGGTTGCTGCAGCCCCAGCTGTTCTGCACTTGTACGAAGCAGGGAAAGTAGAAAATTCTCAGGTGTGAAAGTCCCATATTCCTTTCTTCGGGGAAGGAAATCTGTCCAGCATCTCTCACATTTTCCTATCTTGGTGTCCAAAATGGGATCACAAAGCCACCCAAGAAGGGAGTTAGAACAATGAGTCTACACTGTCATCTCTTTGGATGTGGCAGGAATCAAGAGGCTTCAAGCCAGCTGGGAGCTGGACGATCTTCACATAAATCAAATTCATGCGTATGCCTTTAATCCCAGCACTCGGGAGGCAGAGGCAGGCAGATCTCTGTTAGTTCGAGGCCAGCCTGGTCTCCAGAGCGAGTGCCAGGATAGGCTCCAAAGCTACACAGAGAAACCTTGTCCCAAAAAACAAACAAAACAAAACAAAACAAATCATGTTCAACCTTAAGGTCCACTCCAAGCTAGCTGTGGCTTCCTGTTCAACCTCAAGGTCAGCTCCAAACTAGCTGTGGCTTCCTGTTCAACTCAAGGTCAGTTCTAAACTAGCTGTGACTTCATGTTTTCCTCATGTCTGAGAAGGAATTAATGAAGTTTCTCAGGTTGAATAGAAAGGGAGTTTGTATCTAGTGTATCTCCCAAATTTAAGTCTTCCAGTTGGCTTCATGCCCGGCATGTCTCTCTGTACGACGTTTACATATTAGAATATCCCTGCTCCTGCAATTTCTAGTAGCTTCTAAGGCATTTTGATTGATTTCACATGAAATCAGAAGGAAGACCTATTTGGGGAGGAAGGAGGCCAACAAGAGTTGGGGCAGGTAGCACGGGGATGATGCAAATTAGACCAGAGTATAGCAACATGTATGTCTGAAAGGCTGTAACAAAACCCATAACTTTGTTAATTGAAACAAGTTAATGAAAAAAAGTGCCTATCTTCAGTTCTCAGTTACAGTGACTCTAGCATGTGGTTATTTGTGGCAAAATGGCAGAGAAAACATGTGCCCTAGGTGGTACCAGATTGCTAAACAGTGAAGTCAAGGGAGGAAAGCCAAGTACCCCTAAGGAAGGACAAGCTGTGTCAGTCAGAGTTCATAACACTTAGCTAGAAGACTCCCTTCATTTTCCTCTCATGACTGTTTCTTTTCAGTGACCAAATGGATTTGGGACAACTATTGGCCACATCGTTGTTAATGGTTTTAAGTGATTTGCCTCTTTGTCTTCATTCCTCATGTGTAAAATGGGAATTTGTATCCTGGACTGTGAACACAAAACACAATGAAGATGTCCCAATCTCAGAACACTTGCTCAGGATTTCCCACCTTTGCCTTCTGTTAGTGGAAAAAAAAAAGTCTTTCTGAAATGCAAATGCTACTGTGCTTTCTGCCCTGCCTTGATCTGTTATGCAAACTTTAGTGACTATTATCTGAGCCAACAGCTGCAATCACACAAATGGGAAATTGGTTTTATGTCCACGACGTTTCTCCTGGGTGGTGGTGACTGCCTG